CTTTCATTATTTTGTTTAATCTTGTTTTTAGACTGTATAAGCGTACAAAAATTTGTTTCATGTGTTTGTTCCCCTATGTAATACCCCTTCGGGGGCTTTTAGGGGTATTATGAAATAAAAATAAATAAACAACTTGAAGTGCACTATTAACTATCTTGAAGCACTGCTCTCTTCCGAGGTTGTTGTACATTACTTTCGTTTTCTGCAGATCAATTCTAAGACCCACCTTTCTGCTCTATGTAGGCCTGCCTATATATACAATGTTCCACAAAAATGTTGCAACCCGCATTGTTGCTGCTGTACAGTGGCGACTCAGTATTGTAAAACAATGTTTTTTTGAAGATGAAACTGGACGCCGGTATTTACACCACCATGCAAAGGCTTCTTATTGAAACTCATGTGATGGCACTCCACTATCAAGTAGCCAAGCTCAGCAGAGACTCCCATCAATTACGGAAATGACAAGCAAGAACTGCTGTCGGCAAAGTGTCTACAGAGCTGTCCTGTTAAACACATAATCAAATTCTAATATGCCTTTCGCATGTAAACTGAATTACTTTGTAACAACAATAACACTTTTGAGGTACCAACAAACATTTCACTAAAAATAAAACTGGGCACATTTCAGAACCTTTCAAGCCATCGTTTCTGTGCCCACACATTTGCTACTAGATTGTGGGGGTCTATGACAACAAATTTTCTAATGTATTGCAGTATCTTAAGATACAATTGGCAAGTATCATATCAGACACAGTTTTTGCGACAGTATCTTGTATCTGTAGCACCTATACTTTTTATGATCTTGTATAGTATCACGATACTATTTCAAAGTATCTTTGCCCAGCCCTTACTGATTGCTATCAATTTTTTTTGTCTTGAGAGTTGCCTTTTGAATGCATCACCATTGTGTGGGATCTTTATTTCGAACATAAGCAAACAATAAATATAATTTTGAGATGACCAATTTACGCCATGTGAAGCACAACTTACTTATGTCACGAGAAGTGGTTTTAGCAGTCGTGCACTAGTACTAATTAAAACTCCTGATGCTCTCTTACTAAACTGATTTGTACCAAACAGAATATGAAATGGAAGACAAAGAAGCACTCACGGACAGTGCTGCCTTTCATGTGAAGGTTTATTGCATACAATACAGACGCTAGCATGTACCCTCATGTGCGAAGAGAATTGGTTACATATAAGCAAGTCAATTTAATCGGAACATAGACTAAGCCGGCTGTCAGTTTTTTTTATCTGCCAATGCTCTCAACAGTCATCCCTATGCAATGGCTGCCGGTTACATTGTGACTGTGATTGTGGTGGTGAAAAACATTTATTAATACATTTTTAGTGGGAGATATGAATGGGGTCAGTCTGAAGGGCCTGCCCTACACAAACACTAGGGATCCCTAGTTCGGTATTCCTGTCGCTGCCACGGCGGCCTAGGCCACCACTGTCTGTTGGGTTCGAAGGTCAGAGCAGCCGAGCAGGGCAGCTTCCCGGTTTTCTCGGATGGAGTGGGGTGGGTAGGTGGGATTCGTATAAAAATATGCAAAAAAAGAGGGAAAGAAAGTTAAGTAAGGCCACCCAGCTCCCCTTAAGGCATGGCACCATGTATGCAAAGCTGCCATAATTTTTTTTAGCATTTAACATAGGATATACCTCTTTTTTGCATGTTGCTTCTTTGAGAACAAGAGGTACTTTCCTCCTCATATTTACGCAACTATCCTACTGGATATTTGGCTGACTAGACATCACCAGAAGCTGGCATTAGAGGTACGTACATGCCAGCTTCTGATGGGCTGTGTCCCTGCTTACGCACAGCTCTGACACATTGATGTGATTGGTTTGTGGTACAAATTGATTGGTGCTTCTGGTTTCTACGATTTTATGAGCAGTCCTCTGTTTCATGCCTAAGGACATTCGGCACTTGGCAAGTCAGCAAAAGCTGAGGAACAGTTGTTAGGGCCGCTATCACTAGACAGCTTATCTCTATCGACACGGGAGCACTACTGCTGGGGAAAGGTATTAAGTCAATACGAGTATCCTTTAAAAACTCAAGGGATGCCCAGATATGTGACCGAAATAATCCAGAAGCAGCTCATAACTAAGCTTCCGATAAACGCTCGCTGGTAAAATTTTTTGACTATTTTAATTTCTTTGATAAACACCGATTTTAATTTTAAAAGGGCATTTTCACCATTCAAAAGGCATTTTAAAAGCTAAGAATCATCAAACGAAATGTCCATCAGAATTGGCAACCTTGTAATGTATGCTTTTGTCTATTAAAACACGCTCTGAGGTTGTAATAACGAACGAGCATAGGTTTTTGCATTCAAGCGTGCTTGCTTGTATGTAAAGAGGTTCTCAAATGAAAGGGTATGAAAGGTAACAACTTACCATTGACATAGATGCCTATGCTGCTACAGGAGAACGTAGCAGGGCATCCAGAGATGCGATTGGGGTATTTGCCATGGATCGCAGCATGCGGGGGCACCCAGATGCGCAGAAGGGAGCAGAGGCTCTTGTAAGAGCACCATAAAGGGCATTCTACGATTGAGGACTAGCGAGACGTTAATCTATTTTGATAGCGAGAGATGTAAAACTGACTGCCATTCCCATCCCCTTGCAATTTCTATGTGTTTGTTCCCCGACAAAAATCTGAAAAGGGAGCTCTTGAACTCAGGGCAATGAACTCAATATAACTCTGTGAAGAAGTAGGTCTTGTCACGACCGCAGATATTTTGGGAAGAAGGAACCTCTAAATTTTGGCACACCAAGACAACTCGTTAGAGCTCCTCGCTTTGGAAAGCAAAGAGTTCTTGTACACTGGCCCACAAAAGAATAGCGCGAAACCAAATTCAAGAGTTGGACGAAAATATATGCAGCAAATCATCATCAGAGTATCTACGTAGTTTTCAGCGGAGGTGGCCAAGATTACTTGTCATCTCAACAGCAGTATAGCCTTAACTTTACCTTGTTCAATGTGAGCCAGCTCAGTGTTTCATGACACCTGAATATTTTATAAGCAACTTGGGGAATTATTTCTTGATCATATGGCAGAGAAATATTAACTGACACATTCAAAGGAAGAACAATTATGAAAGTTTTGATAATTTTTAGTGTGTGTTATTTGAAGATCGTCAAACCAGGATTCTAATGTTGATAAATATGGTTGTAATGTTGAACGGAGTAAATATATGTCATATTCAGACTAAAAAATGCAATATAATCTATGCATACATGTACCTTATCATGCAGTGAAACTGAATGTAATAAAATGATAAATGGAACAGGCGAGAGAACAGCTAGAGTCCTGGGAAATGCCCCTTGTACACATTCCTTGTTGGGAGCAATGAAGTTTTCTTTATTTTAAGAATTCACACATAAGAAAACTTTAATCTTTCAGGACATCGAGAAGAATAATATCATCAACACTATAACATGCCTTGGCTAGATTTAGGGCTGCATATTGTCGCCTGTGAGGAGCATGCAAGCTTAATACGAACCTCTAAATCGACATGCATGCACCATATCAAGCAACCAGGTCTAAATCCAATCTGACAAGGGCACAGTACTGCATTAGAAGCCTCATAGCTCCTATGTATAATATTGTCTCTACTAATTTATTACTAGTGGCATTAGGGCCATTGTTATAATCTCTATCTGCATTTTTTGCTCCTTATTCTTTAAGCAGAGGAACAATCCTTCAGTCTGGAGGAACCCAATAATTTATGAGCCAGTGGTTAATAGCCTTAAGATTTTCAATAAAGATATTGAATGATTTCTTTTCAATAACATTTATAATAATAACGTTTCTGACATAATGCCATCTAAAACCAGATATGAGCTAGAGTAAAGTCAAACAACATATACAATTTTTTCCATATTTACTTTGATAAAACCATTCACACGTGAAGGCTTAATTTACAAACTTCATTTGTAACTGTGATGTAAGTTGCTTTTCCAAGTCTGACGCAATGTCAGCTATACATCTCCAAATTCATTCGTTCAAAAAAGAACCGATTCAGTGTTTACGGGCTCTGCAATAGCCGTGAAGGTAACGAAGAAATCTAAATAGAGCTATTTCATTACTACTCTGATTGAAAGCTGTAACATTTTTCGTCATATTCATAGTTTGCTAATGATACAGTTCTTTAAAGCATGCTTTGTCAAAAATATTTGCTTCAATCAGGACTTCAGATTCACACATGGATTCACACAACGCCTCCCAAAAAATTATGCCTGAAACGTGAGCCGCTAACGCGCTGCCCTATCCTCTGATGGTGTTCTGTGGGCGAGCGCACAGAACACCTACCAGTTTGGCGAGCGTCTCTGACCCCTGCTATGGTGGCTAGCCACCATAGCCCCTGCGAACACAGCAATGCTCTCACAGTTGTCTCGGAGCCACGGCATTTTATTTCTCTATGCCACGGCTCCTGAGCAGCCGTAATGTCACGTGACAAAGCGTTATATCACGTGACTGAGTGGTACAAAGGCGAGCGGTCTCACACGGCGGCTAGTCGCAACACAAGGCAGGAGGCATGTTCTCCGAGATTACGTGCTGGCAGGAGGCTCCCAATTGAAAAGAGAGCGACGTTCCAGGCATTGATTTTCTATGAGGCGTTGATTCACACTATTGTAAATGGTGCCTTGCGAGGGAGATTCGTTTGGTCAACATGCCTCGAAGCCACTTGTGTAGACGCGCCTAGCGTTGGTTTGCATGTTGCATCGTTCAACTATAACATGAAACTCCGTGTACCATGGAGGAAGAAAAGGTGCTGTGAACGAAACTAGTTTTTTCTGGTTTTGTTATTTGCATCTGCATTTACTTCTGCATTTACATCTGCTTTTACATCTGCATTTTCATTTCCGTCACGAAAATACGTCAGTGAAATACTTCAGCGAAAAATATACTCCAGCGAAAAGAAAACAATAAACTGAGGTTTTTATTGTCACTATCAAGCTCCAGGAAGCGCCGCGCAGATGAATGCAGAAAAGTCCAACAATATTCGACACTTGGTAAAAAGGCCCGCATCAAAAAAATTGTGGGACGCGTATACGCCTGCTTTCCGACAGCCGAACCTTAAGAAAACCAGCCAACCATGGAAGAATGATTAGCAACTCCCATAAGCCATCGCGCTGCTGATCGTCGTTGTTTATGTGGAATCTACAAGTGAGGATTTAGGGCTCAGGAGTTCGTTTCTTGTTTACGTCGTTCAGCGTTGGTACGTCGCCAAAAAAATACAAGTCTTTGCCGAATGAACCAGCGTGGTATTTTGCCCTTCGTTGGAGGATTCATGCCTTGCAGTTCTTCGCCGGCTTAGGTAAGGTGCTGTGTACGACGGAACTTCGTTTTAAGCCTAGCGTTCTCAGGCATGCTAAGTAGTATTTTAGTGTCTTAATGTCGCGATTGGGCGCTAATCTGCACACTCGGCATTTTTTTTTCTGATTATGTAGGGCTTGAAGATGTGGTTGTTGTTGTCGAATTACCCAAATTTAACCGCTCTTAACTTCATTAGGCGTGACGCAGCGTCGGCATTCCGATCGGATTATGAGCTCCCGAGAGTTTACCGGAACGCCTGTTACCAAGCTCCTGCGTTCTTTTGTACTCTTCTTGAGGCCGGCCGCAGTGTCATAGCCAGAATTGGGTGTGTGGGAAGTGGGGGGGGGGGGGGGGGGCGACACTTCTTTAATTTAAAGGAATTTCTCGCTCTGTATGCTATGGGAAAAAAAATATTCGGGAGGGGCACGGTGTGCCACCCCCTGGCTACGTCACTGCGCGGCTGGCGTAGAGAAGAAAACGGGATAGTGTACGAAAGGACGTGCGAGCTTGAAGACCGAAGGGCTAGGGGTCGCCGGCAGTAAAACTGATTGGTCGACCTCTCGCGACTGTGTGCATGTGCTTACCTACGTTATTTTCTTTGGGCCAGCGGTGCGCTGTTTGGGTATTGAGGAAAATGCTTCGTTTTGTGCAATGTTATTTTGGCTTGTTTCAGATTCAGCGATATTTCAAATATGATTGTAGGCAAATACTGTGCAAGCGGGTGTCCCTTGTTTGACTGCCAAAGGCAAAGAAAAATGGAGCAGCCTCTTAATGAGTGCTTAGATGTTACGTGACTGAACGAGTGGTGGTAGGCACACCGCGCTGTGTGCATGATGTGCTTTATTGGTCTTTTAAGCGGCAAATAGATCCCAGGTACGTTGACGCCTCTGTTTTTAGTATAGATTGTGTTTAAATCCCTGGTGTTTTCTCATGATAATGTTAAGAGCACCATGCAGTGCCTTGCCATTGTGCCCAAGTTGTAAGATTTTTGCTAATCACACAGTGATATTAATTAACTTTGCCCGGTAATTCCAGCGGTGCAACCTTGTGCTTATGTTAGTAACTGTAAGGTTCGTGAGGTATTAGCACTGTAATGCCAGTAACTACAATGAGATGTGCTGAAAACGCTTGAAAGCTTCCCATATTCAGCCTTGTTGCTGACAAAGAAGCTGGCCTAAATGAAAGTTCAGAGTATATTAGGTCATGCTAAGTATAGTATCACCAGCAAACAAGACAAGCGAGTTATGCCTTAATGTTATGTTAATGAAGAGTCAGATAAACTTCCATGCTGCACTGTGAATTGCTTAGCATGGTTCCTAGAAGCATACAATGCTAGGTACATTTTTGCTGAAAATTGCATAGGCCCTGCAGTGATAAACTCTGTGGTTAGATATGTAAAATCTGCAGTGAATTTCTGAGTATAACTGAAGTAGTTAACTGCTTCAAAATGCATGGTAGTGCATTTTGAAGGTTTAGATTGAAGGTTTCATTTGGAGAACATGTGATGTCAGGCAGCTACCTGACCCATGAGGCACATTTCAGAAAACAAACATGTGCTGGCATGGTGTGGTCATTTTGTAAATGGTGTTAATTGATGAATACTGTCATGACGAGGTCAGAACCAGACAAGTGAGTGACTCAATTGCATAATATTTCAATTTACACGGGTGCATTATGGCTTGTGCTGCCTCATGTGATGTTGGAGAAAACAAAACGTCAAGCAGACGTTCTGTCAAGACCAGAATCGAAAGTGCAAGGTTCTTATTCTAGTTTTGAAAGGAGAGATGCATATTTGATTTGTTTGAACTCATAATGATTAATGAACTCATAATTGAACTCATAATGAGTTCATAATGAATGAACACATAATTAATGATTTGAACTCATAATGATACTGAGGATTTTTTTGTGGGCATAAGATCAGCTACTGGCAATTGGCCTCTTCGTCTATGTAGTGATTTCGTTTGACTGCATAGTTTGCCAAAAGTGGAGCGAGTGATTCCTGGTTGTTTTTGAACCGTGATCATAATAAGTCCTTCGCTGCCTGAGGTGCTGTATTTGGCTGACATGTTTCTAGCAGTCTTATTGGCAATATTTTTTACTATGTTGGAAGTGGTGTTGTGGGACCCCTATAAAGAAAAAAAAATATCAAAGATAGATTGGCTGCCAGGCATCTGTAGCTTGCACTTGAACTGCACAGGATCAGCTTGCGATTTTGATAAAGAAAACCATTTCATGCTGTATTCACCACTGAGTGCCACTGTACTAGTGGTATTCTGAGTGATAGCTGAGCATGTGGATGGCTATAGCGTATTGCATTGTTACATTGCTCTCGGACTATAAGTAAGTTCTATTAAATTTTCAATTTGGGCATAATTGTCACATAAAAAAAGAAGAAGAGTGGTATACAGAAAAAAGAAATAAAGGCCTCATAAACTTGTTTTAGGAAGCCATGTTTGAATTGAATCATCACACAATGCTCTCTTTGCAACAATAATCTAATATTGTAAAATGCATGGTTGAACCTTTGTTAAAAAGCAGTTTCAAAGCAGCTCTAGGCTGTTCTAGTGCACATCTTTCCTCGTACTACCATTTCAGTTGTACTTCCTTTTTCACTTCCAGCACAGGAATCAAATGTGTGGACAAAAGAGAATGCAATCACCCTGTCAAACTTCGTACATTCGAGGAAGCTTGATATCTGTAATAAATATTTGCCTCTTGACAGACAGCTGGTGCTGATAGGCAACATATTTTTCATGTGTGATGTCATTCTTTGTTTCTTGAAAACAGGGTCTTGAGAAAAAGAAGGAATCAGACTACGAATTTGTCAGGTGTGTGTCTTTTGTGTATACTTGCTGTTCTTTCTCAGTTGCGGTGCTTAAGCTGAATTCAGTATGCATAAACAAAATAGAGAATCATTGACTGTCTGCAGTAGTTACAATCAACAAAATACCTTCATTCTATTCGGCTGCCTTGTCATCTTGCATCTATGAACAGTGAGCAGCAAAGTACCAGTGAATCGCAAGGAGTGCTGGTATTACACGCGTCTAATCATCTGGCTGCTGTAGCATCTAGAATCAAAGTGTGTTGGAGCTAAATTAGAGTTTTTCTCTTAACACACAGTAGCTTGCATTATCTATATTATAAAAAAGGCTACATTGTGTGAAAGACATTTAGACAAAAACAGGTATAAAATTTTCGATACAAAACTTCGTCTTAAAACCCACAGTAAACAAGTTAATCTTGACAGCCATAGCCTTGCAAACTAAGAAGACCAGAACATAAGAAGGTGAAATTGCAACACAGCGCAGTTTGGCAAAACAGGCCTGTGTTTACCTTCATTCAAAGAAGGGTGTGATCTTAGTCTTGAAGCGTTCCACAGCACTTGCCAGAATGTTTGGAGCGTCTTCACTCTGCAGGTCCTTTTCTGCTTCAGCAGTTTTAGTAGAGACTTTCACCTAGTAGCTTTTCAGCCACATATATCTATGCCATTTGCACTGCCATTTCCACTGTCACTGCTGCTGTTATTCTTGGGCAGCATGTCTTGCTACATTTTAAGACGCGTTTTTGAGTAATCTCGCTGTAATTTAGTGTGTTTTTCACTCTACCTTTCTAAGTTTTCAGCCTCACGTGAACTAAATAGTTTTTATCACGGCCGATAGGCTTGAATTTTTTGTTTCATTATGACATAGACCTCTGAAACGAAGCATCACCATCTGTATGTTGTATTTAGTTTGTCCATAACTGCTAATTTTCTACCAATGTTCCTATAACGAGGCTTAATTGTATGTGCAGCAGTGGTCTGGAAAGGCATTGCCACCAAGTGCTTCCACAATACTGACGTTTGCGCACAACTCTTACTTTGATAGGTAGGCCTTCAGAGAGAGAAACGAGGCTTGGCTAATTAAACAAATTCAAATAGATCTTCAGGCACGTTGCATCAAAAGGGGTATCCCTCTTTGCAAAAGCTTCCCTAATGAGGCATGCCATTGCTGCAAGTTTGCTTGGTTATTGCAGCTATCGTAAAATTAATATTTAATTCTGCATATAGGGGGATCAGTGTTAAGTTGCATAGGCGAGTTTATTAGCTTTTCGTAGTAATTCACTAGGCATCATTGCAGTTTTTGATTGCGTGTTGATACTAAAATGTTAATGCTTTGTACATAACTGTGAACATAACACCATTCACATTACATATACAATCTACATGTAGAGCATTTAATTATAGATTTGGTGCAGAGTAATCTTTGTAAAGAGGAGGTGCACCATCTTCTATGGTCCTAGTAACAACGGGTATTTTTGAAAAATGGTCAACGGATTTGACAACTAATTTTTATGGTACATGTTTAGTGCAACAGAATATGCACAAATCAGAATGTCTTATCACCAAAAAAAAAAAAAGGGAACATGCTTTGAGGCATTAGTTGCCAAAATTTTTCAGTTGTACTGATAAAGTCGTACACGCAGCACATGCAGCAAATAGTAGGTGACCGCAATAGTAGATGTATGCTAGAAAACAAGCGAGTTCTTGGGTTTATGAAGCCTATGTTTGAGCTTTGTGTTCTTGTGCGGCTGGCTCAATACAGGTTTTTCGCTACGCTAGTTACTGCGAAGGCAGCACCACTTGTTATTGTGAACTCCTTTTATTTTGTAATAAAGATGGGTGTGGCTAATAATATTCAGACTTCGTTTAAGCACAAATTATCGTGTGCCTGAACACAGCAGTCTAGATAAAGCAGTCCCAAGTTATCACAGTATCGAGGCTATTTCCGCCAGATAACTAGACATTGCTTTTTGTGACGTCAAACATGGTTTAAAACTGCAAATTTTATTCAAATTGAAAAAAATGCTTGGTTCTGTCACTTAAATTCACAATCTTTCCATTTCCATCAGCATCTAATCACATATTTCATCCTGTCTTCACTATCCTTAAAAATTGCGAAAAGTAATTGTATCGCTGTGTATAGCTCATAGAGGACTGTGATCACACATCATTTTTTAGGGCTGTTTCGTGTAGCTGTCACTCGTGTAAATAATATTGCCAGCTAAATATACATTCAGCTCATAAAAAAGCAAGGGCTGAAACCTTTCCTCAAGCAAACTTCTGTACTAACACATTATGCAAAAATTACTGCGATGTTATTGGGAAGGGCCAGGGGATTTTTCTATTCCGATCGGAGTGAAGGCCAGATAGGAGAGCTTGATTACCTAGTTCTTTATGAAGGACATTAATTTCACTGAAGATAATGTTTAGTCTGAGAAAAGCTTGTGTTGAAAACGTAAAGCACTACACCTGGTTTTTTTTTTTTGGGGGGGGGGGGGGGGGTGCTGTGGAGATACAAATCTGGGTACCCTGAAGAAAGTTGTGTGTGTAGGAAGCACCCCCATTCTTTGTAACTTGGGCCAATAGGTAATTAATTCATTTGAGACTCTGCAGCAGGCATACCTACATGCAAATGTTTTTTAATCTTACCTGGCTGTAAAAAGTAAACAAATTTTTTTATGTGCAAGTACATAACTGCCATAGGCCAGCCACGTCAATGCAGTTGTCTGTTAGGCATAATGAAGCCGGTGTTGATGGCTTGGGCATTGTGTCTGCAGCTTTTGTGCAGAGTGTGTTGAGCACAGCTGGCGTTGTTCGACCTTTGTAGTAAAAGAGCACATGAAGAAAAAGCTCTCAATGCAGTTGCAGATGGCGAGGCCTTCAATATCTAAAAGACCCTGGCAACGCTTCTTGGCAGACTCTAGCATCCGTCGAAGCGATGCTTGACTTTTTCTTTTGGAGCTGTCAGCAGTGATATTTGCCCATTAGTCGAGAGTGCTTTCAGGAAACTGTTGTCCTGACTAGTGTAAAACTGCCTTCTGCATTCGTGGCGCAAACCGAATAGGCTTATCATGTTGGGAAGCCTGGATTTGGAGTTTCCACATGTCTCTGAGGTGGGATTTTCGGGCACATTGATTCTGTTTCTGTGTGGAAAACTGTACTTTTTTGTTATTTCAATGCACTTTTTTTGTGTGCATGAAACTGCTGTCGCAGCCAGATGCTGACGTGGATAGATGGTATTGTCTATTGTGTCGATGTTGCTTGTATTTGTAGAGGTGGTGTGACTGTAGCTGCAGCAGACTCAGTTTATTTTTAAATTGGCATTCTTTAACATACTGGTCCATTACATTTTAACTCCATTACATAGCCAGTGTTCCTAGCGAATTTTTTTCTTGACTCCCCAGTGGTACCTCCAGTGGTATGTAGACATGTTAATCACATGTCGCATCGTTACCTCCTTTTATTATATATATATATATATAGTATATATATATATATATATATATATATATATATTTGTGGCATCTAGCATAAATGCTGTATTGAGAAAAATTCTGTTGGTGTTTTGTGTGTATCAGTTTTCTCGCACTTTTTTCTTACTTTGTTGCTGTGTGGATGTCACTTTTGATTCTATGGTACTTTTATTGTGGAAAAAAAAACTCAATGCGACTAAATAAGTCTTTCCTTTTCAGAAGCATCAATTCATATAAATGGAAATGAAATGTGCTTGAGAAATGCTACCATTTAGCACACACTTCAAAGGCTGGGTTGTTTCACGATCCTGCAGCATTTCCTCCTTCCCAGAATACAAACTCTTCGACATTGATCTTGAGTTGCAAATGTACTCTTGTAAAGCAATGTTCTTACGTTAGTGTTGCTACAGCAAGATCATATCTTTCAATAAAACCCTGCAAGTGCTATTAAGCTTCTTGATGAAGTATTGTAACAGTGTGTAATAGCATGCTGTAATGCTTGGTATGACTTTTCTTTACCTGTAGTGAGAATAGCTGTGCTGGCTGCATCAAATTGCAAAAAGCAAGCTCTGCTGAATTGAGAAATGTGAGCTAGTTCTAGCTTTATTTAAAAAAAACTAATATTGTTTACACACAAAAATACTGCTTGTTAAAGTTGTGCTTCATTCTCCTACTCATTCTTAATACAATGTTTGTCCTCATTCTTAGTCTATAAGTTGCATTTGTAATAAAAGCTTTCAAATAATTGGGGAGAATGCTAGAGCTACAAGTTAATGTGGACAAGTTCATAAACCAGGCAGAATGAGCAATTGCTTTCACCAAGTTGGTTTCTGCTTGTTCTCTGTAAATTATTTCGAAGAAAGTGTACGTGTTCTTCGAAAAGGTCTGTACTGCAAGCATAATAAAGTGCTGTTGCCCCCTATATTTAGCAATTTATTAATAAGCTGTTATGCAGAGGGCTTATGCATATATATGCATATCTACTTTTATGTTGTATATAGAGTATTATTGTGTGTCACTTTGATAGCATGTTGCAACCTTTAGAAAAAAAGGCATTTAGGGTGTGGTATGCTGAACTCAACAAAATGCCTGTTGGCAAAAGGAGCATTTTTTTTTTCATGCAACATTTCTTCATACTGCTGGCAAAGACAAACCTTAGATGCAGCTCTCCGAAAATTCAACACGGTTTGTCTCCCTCACTAGCAGCAGGGCCACAGCCGAGGCGGTGACGACAACTCTGCTGTCAGGATGGAGCCTCAGCTGCTGAAGCAGCCGCTGCTCAACTATGGCCAGGAGTTGCTGACTTCTCTCAAGGATTTACAGGGCATGGAGCGTGTAGGCTTTGTCCTGCAGGCAATCAGCCGGGCTGATCTGCAGGCCAGCAAGCAGCGCGACACAAGGATCCTCTGTAAGATCCCACCTTCAGTTGTCGCCCCCATTTGCGTGCCAGCAGATCAAAGGCATTGCTTGCACACTTTGCACAGTAGTAATGATCCTCTTGCTACACAGGAGAAGGCCATCTTTTTTTTGTGTGTGTGTGTTGCTGTAGTTCGTTATATATTTATAGCTATCTTTGTTTTTAGACACGTTAATCCCTTGCCCCCCACCCCACCTTCAGCCTTTCGGGCAAAGATGCTGTCTGCTGTGCTCCCGCGGTTTGGCATGGTGCATGAAATTTGAAAAATGTGTTAGCAAAAAAAAAAAAAATTGATTCGTAACATTTGGTCATGACGTATGCATTTTATTTTTTCAAGGTTTGTAGTTGGGTTTGTGTTATATGCTATGATGTGTGATACTTGTAAAAATACGGCATTGATAAAAACAATAGCTCCACATCTTCATGCACAGCTGGATTTACTTGTCAGGCGTCAGAAGCCTTTAGTTCGGCTTGGCTCTTATGTCCTTTTCGTTCTTCAGTATCGTACTCATCCGATGTTCAATGTATGAGGTGTTCTGGCTGTATTTGTTCAACGTAGCTACAGATTTTCTTATGCATTGATAATAGAGCATGATTATGTTTGAAGATAGCTTGACATAAAGTAGTTTGACTTTCAAAATGGTCAGATTTGACTGTATTTACTCGTGCTAAGGCAAGCTGTTGCTGATTTATTTTGATATACTTAGGCTTCAAGATCCAGCCAAACGGTCCAAGTTCATCCGCTTTCTGGCACAAAAAGCGGACATGCTGTACAAGACCTGGGACTCTGTGCCTGTGTGTGCCACAACAGATGGTGAAAACGAAGGTCTCATAGCTCTCTCTTTTTTATGTTCTGCAGTTTCTTTTATAGCAACTGGAGGGATGCAGCCACTGACTGCCTTCATTTCTTTTTTCATTTCCAGAGCTTTGTGCCGTCATGCCTCCTTTGGAGAGCTTCATGGGCGTCCCTGCCAGTGAACGGAAGAAACACTTTTTTGAGGTACCAGTCAAGAGCAATACTAGAATGTTTTGCATACATATAGTCTACTACTGTGCCAGGTGGCAGTGTCTTATATCTTCTTTACTGAGCATAGCCATCTTATAAGTGCTGCTCTTAAAAATTTGAGACATTGTAAGTGTTATGCAACCTGGAGGTGTCAAGGGTGCTTGTTCTGTTATCTACTGTACTTGGATTATCAAACATGCTTGATGGCAGTGTCTTGCACTAAATTGTATTGTATAAGGTGGACCAAGCTTGCTTTAGGCATGTAGGCTCTCGAGCCATGTAGGTTTCATGGGGGCATTGGAAGTGGTTGAATCTTAGAAAGTACTCTATTCTTAATGAGAAATGCAACTACCTTTAAAAAGTCTGTTTAGAATCTTAATGCTTTCTACTACCGCTTGTATTGCCTGGCAACAATGTCACATACGAGCTAGTGCCTAACATTCAAGCCAGTGCCTCGCTGTACTGGCAAACCTCGGTTATATTAACCCACTTTAAACTCCCTGTCGTTTAAGGGGGGAGGCTGCACTTGATGGGCAACCTTTTTATTTATGTATATATCTGAGCAAAATTTTCAGTTTGTGTATTTGTGCAGATTCTTATAATGTAATTACTTTTTTAATATGTCAAGTAGTTTCCGAGTTACTCCACAATCAATGTATAACCTGGGTCCCTTGTTTGGAACCTTATTAGCAGGAAGCACCAATACAGTGGCGAGAGTGTATAAACAATGTAAGATGTTTAAGGAATGCAATAATTTATAAATCAATTCGCTGGGCCCATTTCAACAAAAGTTAGAGGACATCAATGTTTGCCTCCGCAGGGGAGTTTGCGTGTGTAGCGACACCACGGACCCGAGCTAAGGGGTGGGGGTCGATTCCCTCCCACGCCTAGCTATGTGTGGCTTTGCCGTGTCTGGGGAAAAGGGGATCCTGGGGGTTGAGGTGACGCTGGGTGATGGGACCTTTAAGACCTCCGGGCAGAGGCAACAGACCCCTTTGGTCCTGGCTTCACGCAGACGGCACCCCTGGGCTGACCTATTCAAAGGAAATCGGCAGTCGCCTTTTCCTATCCCCTTCTCGGATCTTTCTTTCCTGTCCTCTTTCTCATCTGTCCCATCTTCTAATCTCCTCTGGTACTTCCCTATTTTCATAGGCGGTTTGGGTTAACCTTATGCAACTAGCCAACCTTGGCCTACGCGCATTAGGTTATCGTAGCGGTGTACGGCTGGCGTCTGCATGTTTCTCATTTCACGAATCTTGTAGCGTCCCTTCATTGGGCTCCGTGGTGGGTGCCCGCCATCGTTACTGAATTATATTCCACAATCGTGCATAGAACTTTTCCACACCTTGGTGATCGTACCGCTTCAAAGCGCGTACGCACCGAAGAATTTTCCTTTTTCAGCCGACCGAAACAAGTATTCCCCCCCTGTCATGTCGTATATACTGAGAAGTTTAACAATACAGCCAGAACAGTGTCCCCGTTCATAGTATCGTGGTCACTGACAGCCACGTTTTGTGCTGACTATAATGTTACAAAAATGGCTAGTGGAGACCTTCTTTTAGAAGTGTGTGACAAAAATAAATTTTACAAGCTAAAGAGCCCTGCAACATTCGGCGACATTCCGATCAGCGTAACACCCCATCGAACTATGAACTCCGCACGTGGAGTTTTTTTCGACACAGACATTATTGACCTGAAGGAGGCTGAACTCGTTGAGGGCTGAAAAGAACAGAATGTGACCAATGTGAAGCGAATCGTCATCCGAAGGAACAATCGGGAAACCCCCGCGAAACACTTGGTACTGGCGTTTGCTACCAGTGATCTACCACAAACAATAGGAACTGGTTATACAGCCGAATAGCGATAAATCGAACTCGAAGAGGCCCAAAAATTTGTTTGAAATAATGAAAGCTAAATAAACAGAGGGCTCCCCATGTGTGGTCACCGCATGACGAGAAAGGAGGAGTCTCTCCTTGCGGAGAGAAGCAGATCGGCATTTGAGAAAAAAACAACATTCTTCGGCAGCCCTTTTTTTTTCCTCTCTTTGCATGCGTTGTTAAAAGAAGGTTAAAAGAAGGCAGGGACAAGCCACATTCTGCGGCAGTTTTATTTTTTTCTTTCTTATCTCTCTTTGCGCTCGGCGTAGGAAGGAGAAGGGTCTTTACGCGGCATGGGGGGGGGAAGGGAGAAGCGTGACACAGGCGCGTCGCAGATCGGCATTTGAGAGAGAGCAAAGATTCCACTGCAGCCTTTTCTTTCCTTTTTTTTCCCTTCGTGTGCAATGTTGAAATGTCGGGGGGGGGGGGGGGGGCACTGCGGGATTCGGTGGGGTGCTGAAAGCATTTTCGGAGTGCGGTATGTGCGAATTGTCACAAGTGTTTGTGCGTTATAATTACCAGGCAGTTTCGCCCATTGGAGTACACATAGCTTTGACGGGACCTGATCGTGGGTTCGAATTAACCGGAAGTTCGAATCAAGCGTGTTCGAATTGATGAGATTCGGCTGTACTAAGGTACCAACCAGACTCTACATACCAAACCCTCGCCGATGTTACCAGTGTCAAAGGTTTGGCCATGGCTCGCAGAGTTGTCGAGATCGACCTGCTTGTGCGAAATGCGGTGCCCAAGGCCATGTCTGTGACAAATGTAATGAAACCCCACATTGTGTAAACTGTGACAGAGACAAAGCAGCATATTGACGTTCTTGTCCACTGTGAAAAAAAGAAAAAGACATTATTACACTGAAGATCCGCGAAAACATCTCCTTCAAAGAAGCACGCCGAAAGTGTTCGGCTCTTCATGGCACAACTTACGCCGATGCGGTGCGTCAGGGGGCAGCGTTGCATCACCCTCTGCCACTACCTAGGCCCACGCAAAGTGAGCCATTGGGTGTGGCGGCCACCCCCGTAGTGGAAGCAGCCAAGCCTGCTCCACCTACCAAGCCTGAGACTCTGGCGACTCCAAGGTCATTGGCTGTATTGACCACGGATCACCAGGCGAGGTCGCAAATACGCTACAGCAGCTCGTGTACGCGTACATCCAGTGCCTCACATGAGGCAATGGACACAAATAAGGTACCTCAGGTGCCGGAAGTGCGGCGTGGCTCTCTGGTGTGCGCTAAGAAAACCAAAAAAACCAATAACAGGTCCTGATGATGGCCCTGCTACTTAAGCTACAGCTTCCCACCTGAACAGCCACTTCATTTTTGTACACACAGCACTACTTTCCATCTAATATGGAAACACAGATTATACAATGGAATGTCAGGATTTCTTACAAACCACGACGATGTCCAAGAACTTCTACACAAACACTCGCCAAAAGTGCTGTGTGTACAAGAAACACACTTAAAATCTAAACAGACGAACTTTCTATGCAGTTACATTATTTCCCGAAAGAATCACGATGATACTGTGGCATAATCCGGAGATGTAGCTGTTATAGTTAATCAAGGAATAGCATATAAACACTTAAAACTTCAAACGTTTCTTGAGGCAATGGCGGGTCGAGTGGTGCTTCTAAGCAAACTCGTCACCATTTGCTCTATATACATACCTCCACATTTTCAACTGCACAAACATGAATTCCAGTCCTTGATAGATGAACTTCCCGAACCTTATCTTGTTCTAGAGGGCTTTAATGCACCTAGTAGTCTATGGGGTTGTAGCGAGGCCTTCATTCGGGTGAACAATAGCTTTATTGCAGTTGGGTTGGTGCTATGTAAAGAAAAGCGTGAGAAAACATGTCACGTGATTACAGGTGTTATCTGACGGCTGCACATCCAGTCGCGTTACAGGGGTGACCCTCGTTGCGACGTGCGAGGTCGCCTAATTGAGATGTTCCTTTTCTCTTTCGGCGCTGCTCTCCTGAATTGGAAAGAGCCTACTTATTACAACCTCGCTAACAATACCGACTCCTCTATAGACATAAGCATTGCATCTCCATAGCTCCTACCTGTACTCACATGGAAAATTGTAAACAATCCTTACGAAAGTGACCATTTCCCAGTAGTCTTGAGTCCACCAATATCATATGAATGTCGCTCACAGGTTCCAAAGTGGCTTGCCGAAAAAGCCGATTTGGAACAGTTTCGAAAAGATAGCCTCTTAACCTGTACCGACTTGTGCATGTTAAGCATAGAGGCTTCTTTGGAGTACTTCACAGCTTTTCTAATTGACGTTGCCACCAAATGTATTCCTCAAAGAAATGGACTACCTGGCAAACGATGCGTCCCTTGGTGGAACAAAGAGTGTCGAAAAGCGTGTAAAAACAAAACAAAGAGTGGAAATTGCTTCGAGAATCACCGGCGGCCGAGAATCTCCCAAATTTTAAGAACATAAAATTCCAGGGTAGGAGGACACACAGACAGGCAAGAAGGGAAAGCTGGAAAAAATTTTTATAATTTTTATCTGGCATCACATCATATACACATGAGGGTAAGGTCTTAAACAGGGTGAGAATGGTGGAAGGAAAACAAGCATATGCGCTCCCTCTGGTGGACGCACAAGGTGATAGCTTGGAAGACCAGGCAAATCACCCAAGAGCACACTTTGAGCAATTTTCCAGCTTGTTACACTACTCTCAAGAGTTTCAACAGTATAAGAGTAGAGTGGAGAATTAAAAACTAATTACCAAATGTACAAAATACAACCAACCGTTGTCCCTATCTGAACTACAGGTATCTCTAAAACTGCTGCAGCACCTCCGCTCCGGGGTCTGACCGTGTGGTCTATGAAATGTTAAAGAACCTACCTCTCGGAACACAAAAAACTTTACCTCCACAATGCCACCTGGTTTGCCAGCGACATCTCCTCTAGCTGGAAAGAGGCCATTGTTATCCCCATTTTGAAAGAAGACAAGGATTCATCTTTATTCTTTATTCTTTATTCAAAAAAAACCTTACAGGCCCCAGAACAGGGCATTGGGTAAGGGGGAGAGGAATCGGAATGAACAGTTTACAGGCAGGATCAGTGCAAAAACAACGAAAAAGTATAT